CTTTTGAGAAAAACCTAAAGACTCAGCAAAACATACATTTTTAAAATAACTGAAGACATTGAAGAAAATAAAAAATCCTCGACTATTTCATTAGATTTTAATATACTTCTAAGCACCATGAATGTTAAAAAAAACACTGTAGGGTCTCTGTGATCTAGTGACAGAAGAGTATATGATAATTTAAGTATCTTCTCCAAAGATCTAATTGTTCCCAATAACATTCAATATTTACATCTATTATAGCACTTACCATATTTTATTGTAATTTTTTTCACAGTCACACCTAACAATCCCAAGACTTCCCAGGTAGCATTAGTAGTAAAGAATCCGTACAATGTAGGAGATGTGGGTTCAATCCCTGGATCAGGAAGGTCCCCTGGAGTAGAAAATGGCAACCAACTCCAGTACTGTTGCCTGGATAGAGCATTCCATGGACAGAACAACCTGGACGGCTACAGTCCATAAGGCAACAGAATCGGACACAACTGAGTGACTGAGCAAGCAGCCACGTCTACAAGCCTGTGTACCTCTTCACAGAGGTTATTTTACATATGTTTTTATTTCCAGTGTTTTTTAAGTATATATCAATAGCAAATATTAAGTAAACTTTTGTTAAAATGGGAGATTATTGCAAAGTGCTATGCATGTAACTATCAACCTAATGTCAACTAACAAGAAGAGAGAAAAGTTTGGCTCAGGTTAATTGCTCACAGAAATGTCTAGAAATATGAAATATGTACATCAATCAGACAGAGTCAGAATCAGAACTTCCACTAAAAGACCTAAACAGAGCTAGAGTTAATAACTGTGGTGTTGGAGAAGACTCCTGAGAGTCCTTTGGACTGCAAGGAGTTCCAACCAGTCCATCTTAAAGGAGATCAGTCCTGGGTGTTCACTGGAAGGACTGATACTGAAGCTGAAACTCCAATACTTTGGCCACCTCATGCGAAGCGTTAACTCATTGGAAAAGACCCTGATGCTGAGAGGGACTGGGGGCAGGAGGAGAAGGGGACGACAGAGGATGAGATGGCTGGATGGTATCACTGACTCGATGGACATGAGTTTGAGTAAACTCTGGGAATTGGTGATGGACAGGGAGGCCTGGCGTGCTGTGATTCATGGGGTCGCAAAGAGTTGGACACGACTGAGCGACTGAACTGAACAAAACCCTTCATGCTAATGAAGATTTTGCTATCTGGTGACCTTAAAACTCCAACTCCTGGCCATCTTGGCCAAAGTATTTCCACTGTTCAGTCATATGAAAACAACAATAGTCCATGGAGGTCCCTCGGGTGTGTGGATACGCCTTTCCTTGTACCTCTGCCTGGAATTGTGCTGAACAGTCACAGTTCCCCTCACACACTGAAATACGGTGAGTATGTGTTCTTGTGTGTGTGTGTTGGAAGCTCTTCTGACATAGATTTAACATTACATCATCCCTTGTAACAGTTGTTTTTCTTTAGGAGTAGCCCAGAAATATTAGATTATCTCTAAGTATCTGTGATTATTTTATACATGGTCTGGCATGCTTTCTCAAAGGTATAAACTTCTCTTAGCCAGACCTGATACCCTGAAGCTGTAGCTGTATTGAAAACAACCTGAGGAGAATTTCACGGGGAAGCAGGCTTCCCATGTAATCCTCTCTAGCTGTCAAATTGCCATTTCACCACTTCAACAAATCTCTTGAAATGATTGGCCTTCATGGACAAGACCCATTCATAAAGCCAAAGGATGGTTCCCCTTAATTGTGTTGATTTAAAGCTCAATTCAATAAGGCTTTCCGTGCAGGGAGAAGCTTACCTCCTACCGACAGGTGTCCTTGCTAACCCAGTAAAGAGTACTTGTAACATTACTCTTTCGATTGAAATTCTGCTCTTGAAAGAGGTGAGTACATTTTCCTTAACACTAAACGTGAGACTCAGTAGAATCACTATCATCAAAATATCATTCTTGTGGGCTACTAAGACCTGCCTAGCATTTTGTGAAAAATTCAAAGAAAGATGTCTACCTCAGTTGGGTTGTAGTTGGATAATGATGACTTTGCAAGCTAGTGGATTTTTTTTCTTATCATTGCTTTTGAAGGTAAATAAGTACATGAGTGAAATGAAATTAAACTTAGCAAGACTTTAAACAAAGGTAGATGATTTGTGTATCTTAGGCTGTCTTTTCCCTAATGTTCAAAGCAAACCTATAAGATTTAAAGCTTTTTAATGTAACATTTGAGTCATTTGATTTTCCTACATGAAGTCACCAACTTTACTTGATTCATTATTAACTGAAGCCAAATAACTACATTTAGAATTCAACTGACCAGCTGAATCCACACTAATATGCCTGTCCCTAAGAGGAAAAATCCAGTCCATCCTAAAGGATATCAGTCCTGAATATTCATTGGAAGGACTGATGTTGAAGCTGAAACTCCAATACTTTGGCCACCTGATGTGAAGAACTGACTCATTTGAAAAGACCCTGATGCTGGGAAAGATTGAAGGCGGGAGGAGAAGGGGATGACAGAGGATGAGGTAGTTGGAAAGCATCACCGACTCAATGGACAGAAATTTGAGTAAAGTCCGGGGGTTGGTGATAGACAGGGAGGTCTGGCGTGCTATAGTCCATGGGGTCACAAAGAGTCAGACATGACTGAGCGACTGAACTGAACTGAACATGAAAAAGGAATCACAGCTATTCCCCATTGAAATGAATCATCCAAGAGACAAGCATATATTCAAACATAGCAGCATCAGAGAGGGGTATCAAGATATGTTTAAAGGTGTGTACCATTCATCAAATGAGGTATTCACAGACTCCCAATTTACAGATCTCTGGAAAAGGTCTCAAGAAAGATCATTCTGCAAAAGGTTGAAGGTTTGATACATGAAAATGGCCTCAAATTCGTTAACACCTTTTCATCAAGAGATATAATCTATGTCCCCTTCTCTCAACTCTGGATGGGTTGTACAACACCTTAACCAATAAGATACAGCAGAAGTGACACTGAGCCAGTTTCAGGGAGATAGCATCTTCCACTCTTTATCTCTTGGAACACATGGCCTAAGAAGCCAGCTAAGAGTTCAACTCCCCTGAGATCACCTTGCAATAGAAGCTGAAGCTCATGGAGACATTTTGGAGGATGAAAACCATGTGGAGAGAGAGAAGAAACAAGGAGCAGCAAAGCTCCCCAGATGCAAATGAAGACTCAATCTTGGAAGTGCATCCTATATCCCCAGCAGCCCTGGATGACACCAGGTGCGTCAGATCCAAGACACCCAGACAAGTCCTTCCTGAATTCCTGACCTACAAAATCATGAGCAAAGTAAAACCTTTGTTCTAATCCATGAGAGTGGTGATAGATTAGCAGACATGGATCTATTTCATATGAGGATAGGTATGTGATTAAAAACAGAAGAGCTCAAACCACGCCTCTACTAATTTGCACTTCACTTCAACAAAGCTAATAAGCTAAAGTCAGTCTTTTTTTCACATTGACATCAAAATGCAACAGTGTTCATGTGAGATATGCAAAAATATGCTTTGCTCCAAAGTTGACATAGTAATTTGAAACCTGACAGGTTTGAGCAGGTCTCCTGTAAAACTCCCTCTTACCTGTCTATATATCTTCCCTTAAAATAAAATTGAGGCAACACTGAAATATCTTATACCCCTAGTTAACTACATGTAAAAATGATAAATTACCTTTTACAATTGAAGACAATTATGCCCTTTAATCTGAGTGATTAATTTACACCATTCTTAGTGGTTTAAATGCAATCACTACCATGAGACTGATGAACCTGAACAAGACAGAATTATTTGGCCATCTGTATAAGCTTACTATATTTAGAGAAGTATAGCAACCCTCTAGGAAGCTTTAAAGTTTTATTTCATTTTCTCTCAATGATTGTGTACCTCCTCACTGCATATCAAATGATGACACCACTACTTTGGATTACTGAATTTATTTAGAAACCATAGGACATAGGAGGCTCTGCTATGAGATGAGACTCTCTAGGAAAGGTCATATTAAAGTCATCATCTGATGGTAATACTATTTTTAAAAGACTTTTTTATTTTTAAGTATTTATTTTTGGCTGCACTGGGTCTTCATTGCTGTATGCAGGCTTTCTCTAATTGCAGCAAGTGGGAGCTACTCTCCAGTTATGGTGCATGGGCTTAGTTGCTCTGCAACATGTGAGATTTTCCTGGACCAGGGATCGAACCTATGTCCCCTGCACTGGCAAGTGGATTCTTAACCACTGAACCATCAAAGAAGCTCTGAAAGTACCATTGTTGAAACCTACTGGAAGATTTTAATTGCAACAGTAATTTTTTATCTCATGTAACCTGTTTAAAGTCACAATACCAAAGTCAATTAATGAAAAGCAGACACTAGACTTTTAGACAGAGCCATAGGTTTCTATTGCCCAGCAAACAAAAGACCTAAGCGGCTTTATTTCTATGGAATGTGCTTTCCAAACCCTTTGCAATAAAACAGAGTAATGGAGGGTGATGATAGATGATATTCTACTTTAAATTACCCTTTTTATGGTTAAATCAAAAGACTGCCCTTAAAGGAATCTGTATCTATGTTTTGAGCTCAGTAGCATTTTGTCAGAAAATCAGCCTAGAAAAATCCAAAACCTGAACATGCATTTGAAGACCTTTCTCTGCTCCCATCCATAAACCTTGATACACTCGCCCTCAGCCCAGCCCCAGTCTGGTCAAGGTTTAGTAAAATCACTGGACAGTTTAGCAGTAATGAGTTTTTAAGCAACTGAACCCACTCTTATGTGAGAGTATACACTTACTGTGCCACGCCAAATACCTGCAACCAGTTTTTAACTACAGCAACAGTAACAACTCAAAGATAAAGCAGGCAACTCACTGAGAAGGAACCAAGACTCTTTATTACAATCAATGTCCATCATGAGCTTGACTTGTGAAGAACTGTGACATAGAGGAGTCAACCAACCAGCTCCCCTTTCTCAGAGAGACGCTCTTACCTCTGGGACGTTTTCTTATATTTCCTCCTGTGGGGAAAGAAGCATAAACACAGATCAGAAAAGAGTTTGCTGCAGGTGGTAGGTGAGAAAAAGCTTCAGTGGGGATGGACACAGAGGTGAACGCTGTAGAAAGTTCTCTCTGTGAGGCTGGTGGATGTCAAAGCCCACTTAAAAGTTCTGTGTTACAGAATGCTGTGCTTGAATGCATAGAACCACAGTCTCAGCAGTTACACACAGCATCCCCAGAGGATGTTCCACCCTTTCCCCTATGAGGGCACTGTAGCATCTTGGTTGAGATCAGATTTTAAAGACAGCAAGAACCAGGTTCAAATCTCAGCCCTTCAGCAGGTTCATGGGGTTGTTGAGGAATAAATGGGCAGATGTTTGCAAAGCATGTCTTATACCTGGCATATTAAATGGTCAATAACTATTAGCTATTTCTACTGTCATTATTGTTACTATTATTCCCATCAGCTTGCAATGAAGTCTCTTTAAAGATTTGCCTTTTAAAATATAAATGTGTAATCATGCAACTAGACCATAATATCAGACATAAGGTCTTCAGAGAAGGAAGGAGTGAGGAAAGGGGCAATGAGAAGGTCTAAAAGCAAAAGTGGTGAGAGCAGCATCAGGAGCTTGCTACTTACTGGCTCAGCTCAGTACCCCAGAAAAGTCCCAGGAAGCACAGTGGCTGGAGGTCTACTCCACCTCTCCTATTTATGTTCCTCATTTAGCCAGGGGCAAATCTTTCGGGCGTGGAGCTTCTCAATCTATCAGAGGGAGGTTATGTCTGCCCTGTCTCTCTTACCTGGGTCATTGTGGCATTCAAGGAGGAAATGATCATGAAAGTTTATTTTCCAATGTATCCCGATGTTTTTCATGTTTGTGTCAACTTTTGTAGATTTCAAAGACCCTCAAAAGAGTTTTAGAAGACTCTTTACTGGGGGATTAGAGGAAAAGAAGTGGTGAGAGAGGAAAATGCACCTCCCAGGAGCATCTCCAGGAAGGGCAATGCTTCCCAGTTGTCCCTGGTTCCACATCAACATTCCCATTACAGTCACTGCACCAGGAAGCCAAGCCACTGATTTGCTAATAGCGTTGTAAGTTGCACATGCTTTAAAAAAAAAAAAAAAGGTACAGACGTGTCAAATTCAGAATCCCTACAACCTATGACACTTTGTTCAAGTGGAAACATACATGACGATGTGACATGTTAAATGAAGTAAGTCATGTATGGCACCAAACCCACAGTGTGATCTTGACCTGACATGTACAAAGAAAATGCACCAGAGTGATAACCATGAGCCCATGGTAGTAGGTTAGTGAATCACTACTTTTATTTTTACTTGCATTAATTTTCTATATTTTCTATTTAAATGAGCATTTCTATTTTAAATGAGCATTAAATGAGGTTGCAATTAGAAAAAATGTATAAAATATTCACATACCTATATACACATAGTCACATACACAGATATACATATCTATAGGATGAACACATAGAAATATTTAGATGTTTGAATTATAGCATATAGGTAGGAAAGAAGGTCCACTAACAGTTGACCTAATGAGTTAGGGCTTGGGGCTTAGAGTAAACTACCTGTGTTCCAATCTTGGCTGTGGCACTCAGCTCTATAGTGTTTATATTTGATCCCTCTGAGCTTCAGTTTCTTCATCTGTAAAGTGGGAATAATCAGAGCACCTCTCTCAAGACCTTACAGTGAGAAATAAAGGAGATCACCCACCTGAATCTCAGCTCCCCAAAGGCAGATTTTTTTATATGCCTCTCCACTGTATCCCTGGTGAAGGAAATAGCACCCCACTCCAGTACTCCTGCCTGGAAAATCCCATGGATGGATGAGCCTGGTAGGCTACAGTCCATGGGGTCGCTAGAAGTCAGACAAAACTGAGTGACTTCACTTTCACTTTTCACTTTCATGCACTAGAGAGGGAAATGGCAACCCACTCCAGTGTTCTTGCCTGGAAAATCCCAGGGACGGGGGACCCTGGTGGGCTGCCGTCTATGGGGCCGCACAGAGTTGGACATGACTGAAGCAACTTAGCGGCAGCAGCAGCAGCCACTGTATCCCACTGCTTAAAACAGTGTTTTGCACTCCCTCCAAAAACTGTGATGGATGTGCACTGACCATTCTAGACAACCCCCTCCAGCAGTGACAGTTCACACTCACTCGGCAGTAACAGGGGCAGAGGTTTCATCTACAGGCACAGAGCACAGTGACCTGTGGGTGTGACCCAGGCCCTTGAACCTGGTTAGAACTGCTGTCTAACAAACCGAGCTAAGTGTTTGGCAAGACTGGAAAATAACCCACTGAAAGTGTGCAAGGACCAGAGGTAAGGGGGCAATCAGACCAGATGGATGCCCCTGGTTCCCACCCAGAAACTCAACTAGTTCTATTAACAAAAGGCATCTTCAGAGGCCAGAAGAAGACAACCTTTGGTACTGGCTTCCACAGAACTCTTTCAGCATCTGCCAAGGACCATATACCAGCACCACTGAGAACGCCAAAAGCATCAAAATGAACAAAAATAAGAAAAGCTTCCATTTCCAGCAACTACTAGTAACACACACTTAACATGTATCACTGCTGCTGCTGCTGCCAGGCAGCAGGCAAGAACACTAGAGTGGGTTGCCATTTCCTTCTCCAATGCATGAAAGTGAAAAGCGAAAGCAAAGTTGCTCAGTCGTGTCCGACTCTTAGCGACCCCATGGACTGCAGCCTACCAGGCTCCTCCGTCCGTGGGATTTTCCAGGCAAGAGTACTGGAGTGGGGTGCCACTGCCCTCTCTGACTTATATCACTAATCCTCACAAAAACCCTGCTAAGATCCACTCTCTGAAAGAATCTGAATTCTAAAAAAGGAAATTAAGACATGTTACCAAAAGTGTTACTTTGTTATAACAACCAAGACTGAGATATGGCTCAGGAAGTTTTGTCAAAGAGGTAGTTTTGATGGACTGGGGCAGGGGTTGGGGGGTGGGGAACAGAGTTCCACAAGGAGAAATATGTAGGAACGTGGGGCAAGCAGGTGAGGAGGGTATGCCTGGTGGCCTCAAACCAGCTCAGCTCAGCCAGATTTGAAAGCAGATAGCAGGTTCTAAGTCTAAAAAGTGCTCAAAACAAAGCTAATCAAGAAAAGTAATAAAATGTATACATTAAAAAAAAAAAAGAAAAGAGGACACCCGAGAGAAGGGGGTGGTCACCTCTTACATCACCCTGTGGAAAGAGGATAGGGCTCTGGAATGTGATAAACCTGGTTCAAAACCCAACTTCTCCCTCTCTAACTGAGACTCAGACAAGCTCAACACTAAAGCAAGCTTTAGCTTCCACATCTCTAAAATGGGAGGAATGAGCTCAGAGAATATAATGTATTGAATTACCGGGCACCATGCATGCCATGTGAAGGCCATTCTAAAAGGTTTAGGACCCTCTGTCCCTCATTTTCAGTTTCTTGAGCCTAGGGGTCCTGTCATAGGGCTCACTGCATCTATCCCAAGGGTGTGCACATCAACCAGCACATGTTGGCATGAAACAAATGTTTGCTGGCAAAATAAATAAATCATTTGTAGCTGTCACCCACAACTACCAAAATATGGGTTGTGCCTTTGGTAGAACCAAAAAAGAGAGACCAAAAATCTGATTTTCAGTCCAACTCATCTCCCTGACACTCACTTGCCACCTTCATCAATGCATTCCTGAACTCACACATTCTGAAGTTCTCCCTTCCCATCTTGTCCCATTTAGACAGACAGCTCCCTCATCAAAAGAGACCCAACCCAAACAGTGTCCTCTTACACTGGAGCTGAAAGGTCAGTGCTTAAAACACAAGAGAAAATACAGATCTATGGAAATTGCTCTACTCGAGATCCTACTCACCGATCATCTTGACTCAGCAAGATGGTGAGGCCCAAGACCTCTGCTTTCAGCTGAGACATCACTTCCTTCTGAAAACCTTCTGGGGCTGCCCACACTGGATCATCCCTTTTGTGTGTTCCATGGTAACTGAGTTCATCTGTTATGCTGATGGCAAGATCGATGGCTTGTCCAGTATCTGCTAGTGGTTCTCTCTTGCCTAACATGGTGCTTAACAAATGACAAGTGCTCAATACATTGTTGTGTGAATGAGTGGATTTATCAAGACACTAACCAAAATGCTTTCTTTCTACTCATTTTTCTTCTGTTCGGTGATAATTCACTATAAGCAGTGAGGACATCTACCACAGACATGGTTTTCTACACACAGGAGGAATGCTATGAGAGAAGGCCTGGGAGGTGGACAGTGGTGGGATGCTCACAATCATTGTGCACCTCCTCTGTTCCACGTCTGTTATCTAAATTAACTCACTTTGACCTCCAACAGACCTCAGGAGATTAACCTCACTTTATACTTGATGGAAGGGATGCCCAATGGCTCAGCAGGTAAAGAATCTGCCTGCAATGAAGGAGATTCAGGAGATGCAGGTTCAATTCCTGGGTCAGGAAGATTCCCTAGAGAAGGAAATGGTAATCGACTCCAGTGTTCATGCCTGGGAAATCCCAGGGACAGAGGAGCCTGGAGGGCTACAGTCCAAAGGGTTGTAAGGAGTCGGACACGACAGAGTGACTAAGCATACACACACACTTGGTGGAAATGAGGCTCAGAGAGTTTAAGTGACTTGACTAAGGATACAGAACCCTGAACCAATTGGGACAGAATGCAAACTCTGAAGCCCTCCAAGAAAATTGAGGAAATTAGTCAAAGAAGTCAAAAGATGCCTGGAGGAAACTTAGACACTAGACAAAAACAAACAAAGCCAACAATAGAAATGTACTGGGCTCTTTCCATCCAAATGCAGGAAATGAGCTGGAAAAAAAAAAAAAAAAACTAGTTTATTCTTGGCCTTTTGTTTTTAAGAACAGAATTTGCCCCTGAAAGACAAAGGAAATGTTTTAAATGTTTTGTTTTGGTTTCTCAAACTTACTTTAAATTTATAATGTTTTGAAAATTAATACATCAGAAGTCCCAAGA